TTACGTTGCCTGTCCTGCAGCATCGAAATTTTCTAACTACGTAAGGGTCGCCGCAAGGAATCTCCGCTGTGATTGGTCCGTGTGTGTGTATTGGAAGGAAGCATGAAGCGGCTGCAGCAGGAACATGGACGAGGCACTATGGAGCAGAGAGCTTTGTGCTTCGAAGGAAAAGCAGTTTGGGCTCAGAGCCTGAGACTGTGGACTATCTAACATATATATAACATATATATAACTTATAAACTGTTCCTGTCTTTGTTTGAATCGTAGCTGCGTTTGTTTCTTTCCTCCTGCACTCGTAAATCGTTCATGTTTGTCTCAGATATTGTTTTGCTGTTTGTGCTGAAAACTATTTAATAATAACTATGTTTCCAACAAGAACTGTGTCTTTATTCACAGCATCACAGTTGAAATGACTTATAAAATAATGAATCCATAAAACTATCACATAAACCTACAGTAGAAACACGTGTAATGAGCTCAAACAGCTTTGTTTGTTATTGTTGTTCTGAAGAGGACAAAGTAGCAGCGTAAATGGGACCGCTCCTGTGTGATCGCCCTCATGTGGTTTGTTGTGGGATTACAACATTCTCCTCAAAACTCCGTAAGGGGAACGCGCCAGTATAACATCCATTGTGCTTACGTAGGTCCACCGCAACCGCTAACGTAAGCCACACCGCGCAAGTATACTCTAGGCTTTACGCTGACTACACGCAGCGTGTCCGTAAGTAACGTTTTAATGCTCCGGTCGGGCATACGGAATATAGTAGTTTTACTGTGGGAGACCCGTTTCAGGGAGGGGCCTGGCCAGCCGTTTCTTCGTGTGGAGCGGGAGCACGACGAGATTGTGCACGTAAGGGACTTTTAGTGCTCTGGCCGAGATTTATTCCACTTTTTAATCAACAGATTTCTCTTTTAAAAAATAACTTTTTACTGCCTCCTGCTCCTCTGGTTTTTAGGTCTGCTGCCGTTGGGACCATGGAGTCGCCCCTGTTTTAACTGGACTTTTTACAGTTTTATTTTCCAAGTATTTTAATCGGAATTTTATATATTTATTTTAACTTTTTGTAATAAATGATTATTTTACCCGTTTTAACTCTGTTTTTAAGAACCGTTCTTTTAGTTTGACTCCTAGCCTCATTTTAAAAACTAGGTGGCGTTGCTTTTATATATCATACTCGGCAACAAGACACAGTTTAATATAAATAGATTTTTGTGTTGAATATTGATAATAAAACAAACTTTACTGCTGTAGAAGCTGCTCCTGTGTGTGTTTTTATTATAAGTGCCTAAATGCACTTTAGTTTGAACATGTGCTTGTTTGTGTGAAGCTGAACCTCCGCAGCCTCAGTGCCTTTCATGTCTCTGCTTTAAGTCTGTTCCAGGTCACGTTTCCAGATCGTGTCTACGCCTTACAACAAACACATTTATTATTGTTTTTATTACAAACGTTGACTTGTTGCATAAGCACAGACATGAACAAAGAAACACATGTGACATCACAACTCTCCACATTCTCCACCGTTTATAGTAAGCACTGAGCCTGTTATACACGTGTTGTCCACATGATGGCGCAGTGCACTTGTTTCTCATATCCATTTTTGTTTGACTTATTTTAAATGTCATAGATGTTTTTATAATATATATCTTTGTTTAGTTCAAGGTTTTACAATGTGATAGTTTTAAAATGATTACATCTCAAGTCAGGAAAAATTCAGAAGTCAGAAGTCAATTTAAAAACACATTTATTTATCAAAGAAACCTTGTTTCCAGTCAAACGTAACCAGACTGCTCCATGACGTCATTGATCATATAAATTTATATCTTCTGTCACTAGTTTCTACATGTTGGCTCTGTCACATCTTTAGATCAGCTTTTTCAGACAGAAAAGTGAGAAAGAGAGGACCCCCCTCACTCAGCCAATCAGCTCTCAGCCCAAAGAGTCCCAGAGCTCTTTGTCACATGTTTAAAGACATGTTTGAATAAGATAAAAACAGCATGTTGTTGTCTTGTTACTTTTACAAGAGTCTTTCTGTCGGGAAAAGCATCGTGTGTTATTGATGCAGAAAAGAGTCCTGTATCCAGCGTTAATGTGGTCTCCATAAATACTTTCACTTTCATGTGTTTCCAGTCAGTAAATATTCTTGAACACTGAAGAAAAGGCTCAGATGCAGAGTCTGGGATGGAGTCTCAGCAGAAGACATGTTTTATTGTTGGTTCACAGCGTAAGCCGCACGACCAGAGCTTCACAGCGTTCACATGGTTTTATACCAAGTCAGAACACAGAAGCTCTCCTCAGCGTCGCCATGGAGACAGTAGAGAAGTCTGCTCCCACCTTCAGACCAAAACATCCAGTGGAAAATCCCCGACTTGTACAGACTGTTGTAAGGAGCAGCTCAGTCTGAGCACGACACTAAAGTCTGATCAAAGATCCACAGGTGAATAAAAAAGGTTTAAAGTCTGTTCTTCATCTGTGTCTCTGCTGCGTCTCTTTACAGCTGCACTCTCTCAGGGGGCGGGGCCTCACACTTTTCTATAACACATGTCACACTTTTTTAATCATACACTCTCAGGAAGCCAGAGAAAGCTTGGGCTCCAACACTGAGGAAACACAATATTTGGAGACGAGAACAGAGAAAGATGAATTCAACAAAGTAAGAAATAAAGATAGAAACGAAAATGACACGTTTAATAAAACTATACTCACATATGTACAATGTGTGCGTCCCTATTCTCTACAGTATTCACACACACACACACACAGATCTAGTTGGTAAAGTCCATTTCAGACCAAGCATGTCCCAGATCCTACAGCAGTGTCCTCGTTGAGCAGCTGACAGCAGTTATTCTTCCATCACAGGTTTATGATGGTTCTTTGGCTCTCACTGTCGCTCCAACGCTGCTGAGTTTGCAGATAAGAAACGTCGTCACAAATGTGTAACTGATGCTTTCAGATGTTCATCAGGACCAGGACAGGACAGGACTCAGGAGTGATGTCTCTGTTGTTGAACGAGGCCTTCTCTAAATACATTCAATGGACAATTTCAGCCAAAGACACTCACTTTCAAATGTGCCTCTCAGTGTGACTGTAGTCCTGCAGCTCAGCAGCAGGGGGCGCCATACTCCTTCATAAATGTGGAGCTGAGGGATTAGAATCCTGTGTGTGTGATTCCAACATGTTCATATATCAGCCTTAAAACCAGCCGCACTAGAACCACCCTTTAATGTTGCTCAAACTGTGTGTGTGCTTTTCTACAACAAACATCACAATATATGAATGATGTCACACAACAGCGGCTACACAACTGTACACACGTTTATTCACAACTCAAACCACGTCATTTACATCATGAAGCAAGAATAAGACTGATAAACACCAATGATTGACAGGTCTGAATGAAACACACAACACTGAAGCCACATGACGCTCTACAAATATATATGTTGACATTGATGTGTGAGAAAGGACTCTTTCTAAGACACACACACACTTTATACTAGTACTTCATGACAGTAGAATGAAGAACTTTTTCAAGATAATATTATACAATTTTGATTTCAAGATTTCAAAAGCTTTAAATGGTTTTGGTCATTTATAATAGGTTTTCTAACACTGCCTGTCTACTGTATTTTACACAGAAGTTGCTTTGAACGATAGACGTTGCTATGGTAACTCCAAAGTCCTCTGCCTGTGGCCCAGTGGCTCAGAGCCTCAGTATGTGCTGAGGAGGGCAGAGAGAGGCTGTGTTTGACGGCTCTCTGCAGATGTTTTTACTCTTTTCTTTGTCAGAAGTGTTCTTTGAGTCGTTGGTACTGATCGTGTCCAGTTTGCATCCAACAGTTGAAGACGCTCGGTAAGTGATAAAACACATATTTTGACGACAGAGGAAACTCTCCCACTACATGAATGCATTGTAGATAACAAAATTTCTGATCTTGATGAACTCGTTGTCTCGTCACGACACAGCATCAGAAATATGAATGCATCATTTATACTGCACTTATCCACTGAAGGCTGTGAAACCAAGGAGGCTCATCTGAACGCTCTGAACCAATGCAAACAGGAAACTCACTGACTTATTGTAATAGACTGTACGCATCCTTTTGTCTGAGTCTTTCCACAGATTGAATTGGCCATAACCAGTGCTGATGCTGTCCATTAACACTGGAACTACTAGTTTGGTGCCTTTTATGTTGTGTTTTATGCTGGACTTGAACGGCACGAGTCATTTGTAGAGACACACACAGTAGTCGACATATTGAGTTAATTTAGGGCCACCTGTATGTGAAGTCCTGATCCCATCAGATTCCCGAAGCTAAGCAAGTCAGCACTGTGATGGGAGACCTCTGAGAACAGCAGGTGCCACAGTGAGGGGGCTGCATCTGTAAAGTGCCAAACTGTTGTATCCTAAGGTAAGACACTTACTCACTTTGCCTTTGAGTCTACTGTGTGCTGAATGATTGGTGGTATTCAGAGGGGCCAATGGCACGTACAGGTGGATCTCAGAAAAGTAGAATATCCTTAAAAAGTGAAATCCAAACATGATATAGACTTGACATACATGCAAAGAGCCATATTTGTTTGCTCGAAAAACAAAATGTGACAAATGCTAATTATCAAAAAAATAAGGATATTGAATTTTCGCAGCATATATATGAAAGTATAAATGCAGAATTAAAAATACTAGCAGCGGGTAAAGTGCCTGGTGAGTCCTCAGTACAGATGAATGGCATATGCAGCACATCTCACACTGGGAACTGTGTCAAACTGTCCATGTTTGCCCGTCAGTCCTATTGGAATTCACTAACACAATAATGTGTTATTTAACAAATAATCCACTTCATTCAAACTTGCTTCATATTTATCATTTGAAAATGTGTCATATGTGCTTTTATATATTTATTAGTGATGGGCCAATGAAGGCCTTAACACAGTGAGGATTTCCGGGCCAGGCTGTTTCAAATGTGTGGCTGGCTCTGACTGGATTCCTCTGGGTCCAGGCCTACAGTGCGGGGTGGTTGGCCGTGCAGAGCAGAGAGCAGAGCCGCAGGTCTTCATACCAACTGGAGGACCCGAGCTCTGTCACAGCGAGCAGAGAGAAAGTGTGAGGAGAGCAGAAGGTGCACTGAGCTTTTAACCAAGGAAGTCCCACCCACCACAGCTGCTGAGGAATTATAAACACCACCATTGGCCCACAGCAAACACAGAAAAGACACACACCAAGAAAACCACAGCCAAACTTAAAGGGGCAGTGTAGCGACGCAGCGTACCCTGCTGCAGTCCATTTCAGATCACCTACATGAACAATAAGCTAACCAGTGACATGTCTATCTCCAAACAGCTCTAACCTCCAGGCAGTGCCGGCGGAGAGCTTCTAAAGAGGAGGAACTTCTCCGTCATCTCCTTTGTCCCGAGGAACAAAACAAAACATACAACGTATAAAACATAACTAATTGTTACGATGCTAATTTGCTTTAACCATTTGTCTCACCATGTTACACTTTAAATGTTAATAGTCATGTGTAAATATTGTTTATTGTACAGTTACTGTGTAATATTAGTAAAGACATGTGCAAAGTGGAACAGAGAATACTATAGTCTTAGAAACGACTTTTACAGATGATTGAGGCTGAAAAAGGCAGTGTCCCAGAGGCAGCTTTGATTCTAAATGATCCAGTTTGATTCTGTGTAGAAAAGCACACACAGTTTGAGCAGCATTAAAGGGTGGTTCTAGTGCGGCTGGTTTTAAGGCTGATATATGAACATGTTGGAATCATCACACACAGGATTCTAATACAGTCAAAGCTGCGCAGGTCACTTCCTCTTCACTGCTGCTGCTGCCCCTGATGCCAATCACCAATCAGTGGCTCAGGATCCTCTCTTCCCTCTGCTCCAATCAGCTGCTGACTTTATGAAGCACAAAGATCAAAGTGTTTCCAAAGCTGCGGATCACGTCCCCTCCACAAACGAAGCTTCAGTTGTGCAGATGTATTTAATGGTGCAGTTCTGGAGACAGCCGACAGATGGCGCCGTGTGACTGTTTCAGTGTGAGCTCTCCTGCTGTGAGCTTTCACTGTTTATTGTTAGAGCTGTTCATATAAAACACTGTTCTGTGGAGAATCATGACATACATCATAAATGCACTTGTATTAGTGACACTAAGATGCCCACGTGACAACCATGTGTTCACTTCAATTCTCTTTAATGGTAACGCTTTATATTGAGGTGTGCTTGTTAAGTATTAATAAGGTATTTATAGGCATTAGTAACATGCTTACAATTTGCTTGTATGTGCTTATAAACATTAATAAGCTGCTCATTTCACGGTTCTCCAAATGATGTTGTTCTAGTTATATGCTTTTAAGCATTTAATAAGTAATTAGTAAGATGCTCATTAAAGGAGAAATATGTTTATAAATATATGAATTAGCTGCTTATTAAACTATTATTGATACATAATGAAAACGTCAATGACAATTGTGTTTTAATGTAACAACCAAAATGAACAAGATTATTCAAAATAGTGAATCAACTGAAATACAACTCTAAACTTTTTTTAAACGAGGGAGATACGCTTTAACATGCACTGAAACTCAAATTTCCTTCCTTACAGAAAAAAAACCTACTTAAGTACAGGTCCTCAAAAACTAAGTATAGTCCTTGTGTACATGTACTTCATTACAAATCACTACTGCTGACTAATGATACATTTTTGAGATGACATGAAGAATCCTTCCAAGAGACCATCGTGATGCTTTACAGAAAGCCACTCGTTCTACTCGATGATGCACAGGTGCTCAGTGAGCAAGTCTTCTGTCTGATATCCTCGGAGCCTCCAAACCTGCTCCTTAAGTGTTCGCCATGCTCCATGCATGCTCCAGTACGTGGATCCACATACCACTGACTGTGATCACAGTGAAACGGTGGTACCCAAGCTCTGGAAGTACACGGTAAGCTCTCCAATCATCACTTATTACTGAGGCACCTGGATTGACATGGCGGGCTATAAGGGAAACCAGTTCTCCACGGCTTCTTTTACCGACACGACGAAGAACGGGCTTTGGTCTCCTCCCCTATTGCACTCCAAACATCCCAAACACCCATTTGTTGCTTTTCCATCCATCCATCCATCCATTTTCTACCCTTTAATCCATTTCTGGGTCAGGGGGGTGGCAGTCAGAGATGCCACCCAAGTCTCATAGCACCAGCCCCTCACTGACCCTCTGCAGGTGGTGAGTCCACAGGAGGGAACCCATTTGTTGCTTTTCCATGCTCCTGAAATTCTTCCTCTTCCATACTGTAGAGAAAGAATTAATACATAGATTTTAGACACACACAAAGGCATGGCAAAATGGTATTGCAGCTGCTCACACAGGATTTCAGTTGCCGAATTGTATATTTTTTTAAACATTTTTATACAAGAAATGCATACAAATGTAGATACTTTAAATTTATTATGACTGAACTTTAAGTTATTTCCTTTCAAATCAATGTAAAAATTCAACCGCTGCCTTGTTTCGGATTTTGTTAAATAAAAACATTCACTGGAGTGCAAGGGCACTGAGTTTCGGTCAGTAACTGATAATTTACACAGGAGGCGTTACAGCACGTACGCGTTAACTTTTTTCGATGTTAACCAATGGGGATATTTACACTACTAGTGTTATACGCGCGTATGATGCGAGGCTGCGCCCTAATTTAGGATGGATTTCTAATTTTGTGCACGCAGCAACGCGTCTCCCATTGAAAAAACCCATTGTAAAACATGATTTTTCGAGCGGTCCTTGGCTCTAGATTGCATCTACACACAGCAATGGTATATAAACATTAACAGGAGGAGCAGCAGGTTTTACAGTGATTCTGGACATCGTTTTTTTTTTCTTTCATAAAGTCCCGTGTCTGGTCAGACCAGCGCACAGAGACCATGAAGACAAACACATGCATGTGATTTGTGTTGCTCTACATCAGTCCTCTGTACTGTCCTCTACATAGGGTGACCACCTGTCCCGCGTAGCGCGTGCGCGCACAGCGTTTGAAGCCCAATTCATGCGTCCCACAAATTGAGACCGTGTCACGCATAATCATTAATCAATGCTTGCAACAACAACAAAATTGGTCTCGCTATATCCTCGAGCCGCAGGCAGCCAAACGAACATTACTTGACAGTTCAACACGCTACTGCCCCACCCACCCCTCAGTTAAACTTCTGACTAAGTTGTTGTCAACTTTTTTGTTGACATAAATTCATAAAATGAATGTTGCTTTAATTCTGTCTCTTATATTTCTTCCTTATTTGATTCAGATGCTGGTGAAAAGGTTTAAGTCCCAAAGATGTCCCCAAAGTCTTAAAGGTGTCCCTAGAACACTGAACAGTTTTTTCCCTCTGCACGGCTGCGCCTGCCCCTACTAACATGCAAGTTCACCATCCTTCCTCCCCCTTCTTGTTCCGTGAACCTCTGGAGTTGTGAGTTAAGACTTTTTTTTTTCAACTGTTCCTGTTGTGTTGAGCAACTACAATTCCTGTTAATCCTATCAATTCATGTTATAATTCATTATAATTCAAGTGAATACATTGTTATGAAAAATAAATAAAATTAGATAGCTAAAGTAAAACGTAAGTGGAAATGCATCTGTCAATTCATTCAATTCAATGTTCAAAATATTATGAATCTTTATTTAGAAGAAAATACATGCACATTGGTTGCCCTATTCATGAGCATAAATCAGCAATTATGCATGTTTAGGGGAATAGGGCATTATTAATATACCATGTAAGGTGGTATGGGCTAGAAATAGGGCAGTGAGTCTGCCCGTGGGGTGGGGGCACCGCCGCACCAGGCAGTGTCCCACATTGTCCCTCGGAAACATATCCCTTGTCCCCCCCTTGGGCTTATTAGCAGGTGGTCACCCTACCTCTACACTTATCCATAGACTACACAGGGAGAGCATCAGAAGCCGGGGACCTGCGCACGGCCAGTGTAGATACAGCCGAGTAAAGCCTAGTGTATACTTGCGCGGCGTGGCTTAGCGGTTGCGGTGGACCTACGTAAGCACAATTGATGTTATACTGGCGCGTTCCCCTTACGGAGTTTTGAGGAGAATGTTGTAATCCCACAATAAACCACATGAGGGCGATCACACAGGAGCGGTCCCATTTACGCTGCTACTTTGTCCTCTTCAGAACAACAATAACAAACAAAGCTGTTTGAGCTCATTACACGTGTTTCTACTGTAGGTTTATGTGATAGTTTTATGGATTCATTATTTTATAAGTCATTTCAACTGTGATGCTGTGAATAAAGACACAGTTCTTGTTGGAAACATAGTTATTATTAAATAGTTTTCAGCACAAACAGCAAAACAATAATAGTGGTAAATATCTGAGACAAACATGAACGATTTACGAGTGCAGGAGGAAAGCAACAAACGCAGCTACGATTCAAACAAAGACAGGAACAGTGCAAAACAAACGACTGCACAGTTTATAAGTTATATATATATGTTAGATATAAGTTATATATATGTTAGATAGTCCACAGTCTCCTGTATATCAGGCTCTGAGCCCAAACTGCTTTTCCTTCGAAGCACAAAGCTCTCTGCTCCATAGAGCCTCCTCCATGTCCCTGCTGCAGCCGCTTCATGCTTCCTTCCAATACACACAAACGGACCAATCACAGCGGAGATTCCTTGCGGCGACCCTTACGTAGTTAGAAAATTTCGATGCTGCAGGGCAGGCAACGTAAGGGCCTTGCGGTGACCAACTTGTTGCACAAGTGACGTCACGTCACCTCCGTAAGCTCCGCACCGCGCGAGTATAAACTAGGCTTGCGCATATGCGCGCAGTAAACGCTTACGCGCTGTTAACGCCTACTGTGGAAATTAGCTGTTCAAAGCTGCTCGCAGCAGAATCTCTGCTGCTCTCATGTAGTTGTCACTTGATACAGTCATCAGGTTTATTCAAACATCTTACATAAATATGTTTTTATTTACATAAACATTATTTAAAACTATAAAATATGAAGGTTATTTTGTGTTTTTATTATCAATACTTTTTTTTGCTTTTGAATTCTATAAACTGTAACAAAAAAGTATTCAGCGTAAATAAATTCAATGTTTTAAAATTCAATGTTTTAAAATTCAGTGTCAAAATATTCAATGTTTTAAAATTCAGTGTCCAAAAATTCAATGTTGAAAAGAATTCAGTGTCAAAAAATTCGTTGCTTGAAATGTCATGCTTTATTTCCGGGTAAATCAAGAACAAAGCAATCGATCAGCCAATCCTCCATGGATGTAGCCAGGGCCAGAACACGACTTTGTCTTGTTCATCTGAACATGGCGTCCACAGCAAACCAGTAAGTGTGTTTTCTCATCATTAGTTGGTATGTAACACACAAACCACT